GAGAGTCTCCAGACTGATCTGCGAGTGAAACCTTGAAAGCTCGCGAGATCAGGATGGTCTCACGAGGCTACCAAAATGGTCCGCTAGCAGATTTTAAACAAAGAGGGAGACTGTTTCAGTTTGCGCCTTGTGGTATTGCCGTTTGATTTCAGGCCTACCAAATCTGGAAGTTACACGACTAGCTCCCCCTAGTGGCTAAAATTTACAGTGTTGCTTTAACTGAACCAAATGGCCCGAGTTTGTTTTTTAGGCCAATAGTCAGTGGATGTGAGCTACCATAGTAGTGATATTACTTTATTATCGTACTATAATATTAAGATAACAACAAATTAATATAGAACAACGAAAAAAAACAATCTATGTAAATGATTTAGTGCTTAACAATCTTCATTTAAAAATACCTAAAAACCGGACAAAAAAAAAATCTCTGCTTTTAGGTCCCTCTGCTGAGCAGCTACATTTTTACCATATTTTTGATAACTTTCATGAATAAAGTCATAAGGTGATAATAACGTTTGACAAGGCTCATAAAGAATACTCTTTATTGATCAAGTGAAGACAGATTTTTGCAAACTGATATCAGTTACATAAAAACTTGTGAGGTTGGTAAAGTGGTTGCACAATTTTCTTTACCCCTTAGTTGTCACCACTGGTGTAGCAATTAGTAAAATAAAGATGAACTGACTGCTGTCGATGTGTTTGCATTGAAGTAAGACAAAAGAAATCTTTATGCACTTCGAAGAAGAGATCAGTGAACTATTGAAGTTGGTAGCTGGCTGCAAACGAGACATAGGTCTTACTGGACATGCCCTGGAGTTCAGTTATGTCCATCATTAAGAAATGGGAGGCACTGAACAAGAAGCCTGCAGAGGGATGCCATCAAAACCTCTACAAGCTCAACCAAGACAGTAAAACAGGCACACATCCAAGGGGAATTAATGAATTTTATAGGCATTTTTTATATAAATTTATTTGATTTTGTTTTTTCCAAATCTCCCGCTTTGCCTTCATGCCTCACATAAATCTGTGCTCTTCCTTCCTTAGTTTAGTAATCCCCCATCTTCCCTCTCTGTCTCCCTAGGCATGTGGCCTTCAGCAGGAAAAGCAGGGATTTGTCAGCAGACTGCTGAACGGCACGGTCCGGTTTGGACAGCTTCAAGAAGAACTCAAAGTAAGTTTGTTTTCTTTTCCGCCTTTTTCTCCAGTCTCTCTTTCACTTTATTTCTTCTTATTATTCTTCATTCTGGAAAGTCTGAAGTTGCCTTGTTGGATCATTCTAAACCCAAACAAGGAAATAACCCCAGTGGATGGAGTGACACATGCTCTACAGCTGAATTTCACAGCAAACCTTGTCCATCTAACTAAGACTTACAATCTTATATCTAGCCAAATAGTTTGTTGATCTTGTTTAGAGACTGATATACTAAGTGAGAGTAGATTCTGTTGGATTATTAAACTTCTTTCCAGGAGATTCTACACAAAATAAGTGCAATAATCTGTCAGTGTGGTAAGACAGTTGCACTTGGTACTACTTCTTGCTTTGAGAATTTAAAAGTTTACTTCAAGAAGTGCGAAGTGCAATTGTCTCACTGCACTGGCAGATTATTGCACCTATTTTTGAGCGTAATCTTCCCAAAGGAAGATTAATAATCTAGCATAATCTGGTCTTGCTTTGCTCTCCTGGGGGAGAAGAACACCTACATGCGGATGCTGTCCCTGGACTTCAGCTCAGCTTTCACACCATCATCCAGCATCTAATAGGAAACAGGAACTGCTGGGCTTCCATACACCCCTCTATTGGCTGCTAGACGTCCTCACAGCCAGACCTCAGTAAGTCCGGGTTGGAGAAGACGAAGGAGATCATCGTCAACTTCAGAAAGAACCGTCCTAACCACGCTCCACTGCTCATCAGCTCAGCTGTAGAGGTGGTCAGCAGCACCAAATTCCTGGGGGTGCACATCACAGACACCCTCACCTGGACTATAAACACCACCTCAATGATCAAAAGGGACTAGAAGCGCTTCTACTTCCTGCAGAGGATGAGGAGATCCCACCTGCCCCCACTCATCCTCCCTACCTTCTGCATAAGCAGCATAGAGAGCGTTCTGAACAGCTGTCTCACTGTGTGGCGTGGAGGCTGCAGCGCCTCAGACTGGAAGAATGATGAGAACAGCAGAGAAGATCATCAGGGCTCCTCTTCCCTCCAATTTGGACATTTCATCCCATGCTTGTCCCAAGCCCGTAACATCATCAATGAGCATTCACGAGGGCATTCTTTATTTCAGTAGGTGCTGATGCTGTAGGCAGGAAGGATTTTCTGTAGAGGTCTGACTCGCACCGAATCTGGAGAAGTTCTGACTGAAGAAACTCTGTTGTTGTTTAAAATATTCTGAAGAGGATGCTCACTGATGTCCATCATCTTCTTCACTTTATGGAGAGTCATTCTCTGGGAAATCATCTCTAGAGGTTCTAGAGGAGTTTGCAGCTGGTTGAGCTTCTTTCCCAACCATGGACTGTTCTCCCTGCTGCCCTCTGGGAAGTTGGGGGAGTGGTGGCCTAGTTGTTAGGGCGTAGGGCTTTGAATCCTGAGGTTGTGAGTTTGATCCCCCACTCCCACAAGCTGCCACTCTGCCATCCTGGCATCTGACATCCACTCTGGTCCCTGAGCAAGACCCTTAAGCTCAACTGCCGCACAATGGCAGCCCACTGCTCCCCAAGGGGATGGGTTAAATGTTAAATAATTTCCCTCTGGGATTATTAGAGTATATAATTATATAAAAGTATATATAACTTTATATACTCTACTTTATATTAGAGTATATAAAATAAATAAATAAATAAATAAAAGAGGCTTTGTAGCATCCGATGCAGGACCAGCAAATTCCGCAACAGTTTCTTCCCCACCACCATCAGACAGCTGAACTGTTGAAAAACTCTAAATCATGTCACAGACTCTGCATCACACTGATTGTTAGGTTTATTCAATGATGATTATAAAATTAATGTGTGTTTATGAAACATTTGTGCGAGGGGATGCTCCAATCCTGTGTCATGATTCAGTCAGGAGACCATCCTGCCTTGTCATTCTGATGGAGCATTCTGTCTTCATGAACTGATCAATTGTTCTGTCAGAGCAATACTCTGTTTGTAACCATGCGTCATGTTCTGTTGATAAAACGCTCTGCAGAGGAGGTTCAGTGGGAGACAGTGTGTTTGAGTCTGGGGTTCAACTGTCTCTCCTTTCTGCAAAAATTGTATCCATAATTGTGTATTTCAGTTCTTCTTTTGCAAAAACCTACATTTTATGAACCCGACACTGATAACACTAAACCAAACCATAAATATTAATGCTCTGAACTTCCACACCCATGCGTTTTATTGCACCATGTTTGTTTTTTTCTCCCACACTGTTAACATGTGATCACTGCTGCACTTTATAGAATGGAAATGTTCATTTAATGTCTGAAAAGCTGTACTAAATGAAAACTCATTTTGTATAAACGGTAAAAAATTACAATAAAAGTTGTCTAAGTCTAAATATCAACCTTAATACAATACCAGAAATACTTTTTGGCTAGATCTAAGATTGTTGGTTAGATGGACAGTTTTTACAGTGAACCTCTGCTGTCATAAACGTCATATTTGGGTCCAGCAGGCGATGTTAGTAATAGATATAAAGGTTTCTCATTCACTCTGATCATTCACACGTTTAACTGATATCGATCTTCCCACTCTGCCTCAGTCAATGCTGTTTACAAACTTTCTCTACTCAGCTAAACTAAATTCACCCTTCTTCCTCTATAAAGCTTATTAATGGGCAGTTACGTGTGTAGCAGGTTTAGGATAAACATTGTCAGTGTAGTGACGTAATTGGTCAATAATAATAATAATTCATTTAATTTATACTGCACTTTTCACCAAAAAGGCCTCAAAGTGCTACAAAAAAGCATTAAAAAAGAAATACATAGAAATAGAAAAAAAAATAAATATAAAATAATAAAAGCTGTTTTAAAAGAGAAAAAAAGAAACATCTAAGGGGGACCAAAAGTTTTGCTAAAAAGAAATGTTTGAAGGCCTTTATTAAAACAACCGGCAGTAGGATTTTTATTAGATAGAATCACACTCATGATTATTGGGTAGATTTTTTTTTAAAGTCTCGCTGCAAATCTGCATAAAACACACACACATGCTTCTCCAGCTGACTGATGAGCAGCAGATTCGGAGTAAACATGTTAATAAACTTTAGTCTATTTAATCTAACAGCTGCTTTAGGGATTTCATTTCCTAAACTCAGGTTTGCTATCATTTATATTCCAGGCTAATGGCCGACTGAAAGTCAGCTCAGTCGGCCTGCTTATTCTTTACTCTGACAAACTGAAGCAACAAATGCTCCCATTTGGGAAATCAAGGGCAATTATCTTACATCACTATGGCAACCTTGACTAGATTTAACTACATCTCTGAATAATTTGTCCCTGACTCCAAATCAAACTATTAAAATTCAAAGAGACAATAATATTTTTATAGTGGTGTAATGGATTTACAATTATAGAAAATGTAACGTTTTATCGGAGGTTTAACCTTGGTGGCCGTGCTTAGAGGAGGTGGCAAATAAATATTAAACACTCAGGCTGTTTGAGCCGTTTATTAATGCTGTAGACCAGGAGAGGACACACATGGCAGCATGGATGTGTGCTCTGGCCTATATTAGTTTGTCTCACCCAGATACACCAAAGTATCATCAAACAGGAGGGGGTGGGTTGGCATTAATGCCGCCGCATCAACCAACAAGGACCCTAAACCTTTCATAAAGAGGAATGGTGTTACCTGCTGCACAGGTGTGTTCTATAATATGGCTTTTTTAAATATTAAAGGGTAACCCATGACCTGTTTTTGACCCGTAAGAGAAGAAGTTAGAGCTTGGTTGTTTAGATCAGTATGAAGATGTGCTATGAGGGGAAAGAAAAGAAAAACTGTCCTTTAGCAAAGAACAAAGTGTAATATTTTAATAAGGCTGGAGCCATGGATGTCTACTCATCTACTAACGTGTGTGATGTAATGATGTGAAGATGTGGCAGACTGGAGATGTATAAAATGCTTTTTTAACTGTTAATCGGGGCCACTTCCTGAGAGGTGAGCTGTCATTCTGTAACTCTAAGCAACTTCTCCGATCTGAGTAAAAATCTGTCGTCATTTCTCTTGGTTATTTAATACATAAAAGTTATGAAGTGTTATTTAAAGCGTTTGTCCCGGGTGATTTCTTTTCAGGGAAAAGAACCAAAGAGATAGAGCTTCAAGGTGCATACACAGAGCCCATCTTTAACATGCTTACGCACAAGGGCGTAGGTTTGATTTCCACTTTGGTAGGGACACTATTGGTCCTAAGTTTCATTAATGTCATTTTACCTATGCACAAATATGCATGCTTTGTTTATGCTTAATGTGAGCATCAGGGTGCATTTCATTTAAAGACAACAGCAGCATTTCTTGCTACATTTACACTAATTTTATAAGCACTACACACACTAGATGTTGTTTATCAATTTTTGAAGCGTCACTGGCTCTGATTAATGTGGAATTAGGACTTTTTTCCACTTTGAAAAGGTTTGCATTTAAACTTACCAGTTACTAAGACAGAAGGTAATTATGTGCCAGTTGAACCAAATATAGTCTAAATATGGCCGTTATATGTGGATTTATCCTGTATTTTTTTTAAGATATATAATTGTGCAAAGGTAAACAGGTGAAACACACTCTTATTTTTTAAATGCTCTCTCTGTATCATTCCGTAAAAAAAATTCAAAAAATATCCACTGGACTTGGTTTTCAAGATTTGAAGACGTTTCGCCACCTCTCCAGGAAGCTCTCCAGGAATCTGAGTCCACCACCTCTGTTTAAAGTTGGTTTTTCTCTCTTAACATAGATGGCTTCCTTCACGCCTCTCTCAAACCACCTATTTTCTTTATCCAGAAT